TGCCGCTCACCTCCAGCTGCGAGGCCCGGTTCTTAACAGGTCATGGACCAGTACTGGTCCTTGGCTCTGTGGTTGGGGACCCCTGCTGTACGGGACTCCTGTGACTTTCCTATTTTTTTTCCCCCCCACACCAAGCATCTCAAGATGCATCAGATGCTATTCCTGATAGACCCCCTGACCTTGGGATTATTTCTCAGGTAGTTCTGTAAATGCTTTTGTGCCACAGATCTTCATCTTTACCAAGCTATGGCTATAGCTTATCCCTGACAAAAGCCACAAGTAGACTTACGGACTTACGGTGAAAATAAGCAAGAGATAACTAACTCATTGGCTAACCACATTTTCTGTTTCCGTACACTTGCAAAAGAAATGCTTTCCTTCTGTCTGTTTTTTTAGATTGTAAGCCCCTCGGGGTATGGACCTCTCAGACCTGTTCTTTGTGAATATGCTTGGTTGGTGCTACAGAAAAATAAAATAAAGACAGTTTTGCAGAAGGCCATGCCTGTGTTCACCTATATGCAGCCGAGAGTGGTTTCTTAGTAATCACAGCCTCTTATCAAGATTTGCTGGGCCATCTTTGCATGCAAAATAAATATTGGATCATAAAATGCCAAAGAGCGCCACATGTAATGCCAGGACACTGTCAGGGTTCTTATTGGGATGAATGTTATATTACATAACATTTTATTGATTTATTAAATTTATATTGCCACCCATCTCACATATGTGACTTTGGGTGGTGTACAATAAATGATATAAAACAATACTACGCAACAATTTAAAAGCATTTTTTTTTAAAAAAATAATAAAACAGTTAAAACGCACATAAATAAGACTATGGAAAAATAGATCAACAGGCTATCAACACTTGTGTGCTCCCTGCTTCCCTGGGACCTCCAAGCCTGTTATTTTATTTATTTATTAAATTTATTTGCTGCCCATCTCAACCACAAGGTGACTCTGAGTGGCATATAGAAGCAAGTTCTTTCTCTGTGTCTGCTTCTGCAATGCTCTGTTTAGCACTTCAGAAAAAAAGTTTAGAAAGGTCAAAGGCCTGAGGGAATCATGAAGACCAATTTTTAAATATAAGATGTCTCCAAAGACATCAGCCCAGGGGATTTTGTTTTTGTGTTTTTTTTCCCTCAGATTTGGCAACTTTTAAGACAAGGAGACTTTCGACTCCCAGAATTCTGGAAGTTGAAGTCCACCCATCTTAAAGCTTGCTAGCTTATTCCAAAGCCATGGAGTTTAACCATATCTACACCGAGTAGCAGAGGCTGTCTGTGTTTGAGGCAATATTTTATAGCACTTCTTGGGAATATCAAAATGTGAACCAATGAACAACCCTCATCAGCCACTGGGTTGCTGAAAGAAAGACACCCATTTCTAGCAGTCTCCAATCCCCCCCAAATATTCTTCCTGTGTTCATGAGAAGCCATCTCTGCCATGGTTGGTTTTGTGAAGATCCTCCTTTCCCAAACGACACCTCCCGGATCTATTGGGCCAGCAGCGGTGCTGTCTTTTGGTCGTTGCAGTCCCAATGCATCCGGATGCGGTTGAGTTGAGCAAAGGCTAGCCTCAAATGAAAACCTTGAGTGGGGGAAATAGGTGTGTTAAAGAGACTCTTGCATATGTGGTCCTTCCATGTGACTCTGTGTCTCTGCTTCATTTCATAGTGAATTATTGCGTAGGTGAAGGCTTCCCAGATCCACTCCAGGCTTCTCATAAGAAACTGGATTGTCTCATTCTGTGAACCATCCATCCTGTGTCATCATTAAAGGAGGCCATCTGTGCAGAATAAGTCACCCTTAGTTTCCTGCATGCGCCTCTAAGGTTTTACCGCTCATCTTCCTTCACTTTGGTTGTTCATTTTATCCTTGATTAAAAAGAAAACCTTGTCAAAACACTAGCTATGTCCCCTTTCTGTTTTATTGTAGTTATTTTTTTTGGTGAGGTTTTGTCCATAGACCGGATTACATGCTCTACATATTTTCCATCTCAAAACAATCCATCAACCAATCAGCTAATCAAGTACCTGAGGATATTTATTTCAGATCTAAATGTAATCTGGAGTAATTCTCTATACTCTCATAGACATAGCCTAAACAATTGGTCAAGGAACTAATTGTCTAGGAATTCTGGATGTGACCATTTGGCTAAACAATGAGTACGTGAACTGAAAGAGTCATTTAGACCAATTAGAAGGTTGCTGTGTCCTCCCCCTGCCCCTCCCAGCATCTTTTTTCTTTTATTTATTAAATTTATATGCTGCCCATCTCACTGTCCAAATCTCTTTTGGGGTGGGGTTGATGCATTCCAAGAGATACAGGACTTTTTGTGAGATTGGTACTCTACCCAATTATGGTGTCCTCAATTCCCAAGGAAGACTATCTTACATAGCAGAAGTTGGTGGAAAGTACATTATTTTTGTGGAATGGATCTAAAGAAAAGTTAACAAAGTTAATTTACACGGGTTGACATTTTTCTAACATACTGTGGTTTCCATAATTTGGCTGGATTTTATTTAATGCATTGAAACTTATAGTGGTAATGAGGCCAGCAAGCTGTGGGTTTTTTTTTTTTGTAATTTATCCCAGGGAGGCCAGGACAAAGTATAGCCCAGTATTCACCAATCTGCTGCCCTTCCTCTCTGTTAAATTACAATTCTGTCATCCTTATCTAAAGGTGATAAAACTCCCGTCACTTGCAGGACATCAAACTGAGAAAAGGTGCTGTAGAACATGGCTCTCCAACCTTAGCAACTTTAAGACTTGTGTGGACTTCCAACTTCCAGCTCGCTGGCTGGGGAGTTCTGAAGTCCACAAGTTTTAAAAGTTGGCAAGGTTGGAGATCCCTGTTGCAGAAGAAATACGTAACATAGACAGATTTCATCTAACACAGGAGAAAGGCCATTTTTAAAGACCAGGGTTGAACTATTGAAGATAGTGAGAGGATCACTTGGGCATTCCAAGGAAGCAAATCTTTCTAACTATTTGTTCCATCAACCGATGGTATGCTTTGGTTTAGAAGGTTTTTTTTTAATGCATATTTTAATTGATGAAATGTGGCTGTTAGAACCTTGGAATAAATGTTAATAATAAATAGGATATTAATTCTATTTCATTAAACGCTAAAGAGAAATGGCACCCTGCTTTTTAAATATGGAAGCACGCGCCTAACAAACAGTCACTTTAATTTCCTTTTTTAAGGAATTGGAAGTACAAATATCTTTGATAAGAACACACTAGGACAGTGGTTCTCAACCTTTTTAATGCCGTGACCCCCAACCGGTCATAAGTCGAGGACTACTCAACCGGTCGTAAGTCGAGGCCTACTCAACTGGTGCAGCACCGTTTGCAGAATGGGACTTTTGGTGGGCTCAGCAGGGCAGAGCAGCCTGGACCATTCCTATTGGCTTTTGAAAGCCAATAGAATTAGACTTTATTCAAGAGAGTCTATTCTATTGGCTTTCAAAAGCCAATAGAATAAAAAGGAGTAGTGCAGCTAAGGAAAAGGGGGGGAAAATGGCGGACTGCGTTGTTTGGCGACCCCCGTGAAATGGTCGTTCGACCCCAAATGGGGTCTCGACCCACAGGTTGAGAACCACTGGTCTAGGATGTAAAGGATTCAGACAGTTAACATGTTCAGATGCCATCAGCCAGGTTTATGCACTGACCCTAATTTGAATTGTGCATTCAGTTCCCTATCGAATAAAAGGGAAATTTGCCGTTACGTAAAGTAATAGGAAGGTTTGAATAAAACCAGGATGAAAAATATTCTTTCCATTAAAATGTAACTAAGGAAAAATGAGCAAACATGGATTACTGATTTAACTACATCTCCCAGTTTGAATGCATTTGTTTATACTGAAATAAGGAGGAAGAGTATTAACAACACTTAATCGCCATCTAATTTAGATTACATCAAGAGTTTGTTTCTCTGTCAAAAAAAATATATATTTTCTAATGAGGAAAGAAGACCTTCTGTTGAAATGACACTCCCAAAACGTTATCGCTTTTGAAACCCTCCAGGATAACCTAAGTCCTTATTAGGCCAAACACTTCATCCTACTTATTCTTAAATACTCCTCTCTAATCTCCCTATGGGCAACTACTGTGAGTTTCCTCTGCCTGTGCTATATATAGGTCTGTCCTGACAGCATCTCATGCAAAGGTCTTCATGCTTTTGAATCTCTAATTAGACACTTCCAGCTTAAGAGCTTTGTGTTTGTCCAGGTTGCATTTTTGAGAAAATGGGGGCTCCGGCTGCTTTGGGGACGCCGTGGGTCTTTTGGATGAAAGCTACCCTGTTCACCTTTCTGGTTGGTGTGAATGCAAGTGGTGTGGGAAAAGACGGAGAAGCTGGAGGTTAGAATGGATTGCGATAAACTATGGCAGTCCTTTTTTAAAAAAAAAAAAAGAAGAAGAAGAAGAAAGAAAGAAAGCATGGATGTGTGATCCTAATGAGTGCAGACTGTCCCGTTGTGTTATTTATTTATTTATTTATTTATGAGACTTATATACCGCTTTAAGTGCAAGCACTCTCTAAGCGGTGTACACCAGTAAGCAATGTGTATGTGTATGTATGTGTGTGTGTATATATATATATATATATATATATATATATATATATATATATATATATATATATATATATATATATATTTTACATTGCCCCCAACAATCTGGGTCCTCATTTTACCTACCCCGGAAGGATGGAAGGCTGAGTCCACCTTGAGCCGGTGAGATTTGAACCGCTGACCTGCTGAACACAGTCAGCTAAAGTGGCCTGCAGGACTGCACTCTAACTGCTGCGCCACCTCGGCTCATAGGGTCCTCCGGTTGGACAGGAGAGGGTGGATCGGGGAGGGCGCCTCGCGTGCTTCTGAGAATGAAGAGGTTGGCTCCATCCTGTCTTGTGCTAGTTGTGTTTGAAGGAGAGGGGTTTACCGGGAGGGCCCTGGGACGCTGTATTGATTGGCTGTGTTCTTTGTGCTCCAGGTGCTGCTGCTTCTATAAGAGGAAACGAAAGAAGTCTTCTCAGCGCCAGAAATAACAGGTGTCTCCTGAAGGCATTTTTTGGGGGTCTTTTGCGTACCTGCTGTTCCTGCCACGTCTTATTGAAGGGGGCTCCTGTTGGGGAAGGTCAAGAAACAAGGGACACTTTAAACCAAAAAGAGGGAGAGAGAGAGAAAGAAAGAAAAGAGAGAGAGGAAGGGGAAATTCCATAATAAACATTCAGGTGGATTCCCCAGATGGTCTCCCTCGTTCACTCCTCAATACCTGAGGCTTCTTTTGATGGAATCAGGAGAACATCTCCCTCCCTTCCCCCTGCAGGCACCGGTTGCCCTTGATGGAAGACGAGGCTGGCTACTTTCCTTCCTAGATCCCTTCAGTGAAAGGGGGGGGGGGCATTCCTGGCGAATGTGCTTTGTTCCTTCCTATGGGTTCTCCACGTGCTTCCCCCTCCCCTCCCCTCCCCAGGGGCTGTGGTGAAGCCTAGGGCCAAGTGAACTCACGGCTGCGAGGGAAGAATGCTGCTAAAAGAGCCCAGGTTTCTCCTACATCCACAACTTTCCCCGGGCGGCCAAAGTGGGATAATCTTGGATGGTTGCCCTTGGAGAGCATCCCTGGCAGTTAAGCCAACAGTCGGAGAATTGCAATCTACTCTTTAACAGTTGCCTTGATTTACTGGCATTCTCCTTTTTTTTTTTTTTGTTCTCTTCTTCTTCTCAGAATGATTGGAGAAAACTGTCCGTTCTCAACGAGCATAAGTTGTTGCACTTTTAATTTTATTTCATTTTTTTAAATTGTAACACGATGGATGCATATTACGCCTGTTTTGTGTGTGTTCTCTCCTCGTCGGCGCGAATGAGGCTAGCCCACGTGCTCAGCTTCCACCCCTCTTCGTACAGGCTGCCCGTCCCTCTTAGGATTCCACCAGGACTGTGGCCAGGTTCTGAACGGCCCACCCAACGTTGTCCGTGCCCTGCCGCTTATTTGAATTTTTCCAGCTTCTTATGGAACACCCCGGTTGTGGTTTTGTCTCCGTGGTGCCTATCTTGACCGTCCTGAGATCGAAAAAAAACCTTTTCTGCTGGCAGGAGAAGCGAAGTCAGCTGGACTGAACTTTTGGACAAGTGACCGTGGAAGGAGGGAGGCACTTTGGCCTTTTTAAGCAGAGCAAAGCTCGGCCAGAGGGAGGACGCTGCCGTTGCCTTATACTTCTTCTCTGGTTCGGATTTTGCCCAGGTTTTCCAGTCAAACTCTACAGACTTTAGAAGAGGGTGCCATCTCTATAGTGCCTGCCGATCTTTCAGCTTTGTGGCCTGGGCCTGATGTCGATTACACTTAAACCTGGATACGCAAGGAGATCAATATCAAAAGTGCAAGTTTTTTTTCTTTCTTTCTCCCAAGCAGACGGGACTTTGGGGACACTTTGAGAGGGGTTGAAGAGGCTCCTTCTTGAAAAGCCTTGGATTCACCTCTTAAAATCTGTCTAAAAGGCAACACAACCCTGTTGATCAGCGACTAGTTTTTGGGCCCTCCTGGAAAGGAAGCCACCTTCAAGATTGTAGGGGGGAGAACCAAGCAAGAGTTCCTTGTTTGCCAATGAAATAAGGGCTAGTAGGGGGAAAAGCCACTGGATCCTATAACAACTGGATTCCTGCTCATCTCAAATACTCTTTTCATGCCTGGTGTTTGTCTTAATGTTAAAATCTCGCCCCCCCCACTTCTCTTTGCAGAGCTCTAGAGTTCTATTTCCCCCCCTAAAATGGGGTATAACGCAGAAACACAACTCATCCTCCTCCTCTTTCATCACTGATAAGAGTTGAGAGTTTCTCCTTGGCGGTCCTTAAGAATTAACTTACTGTCCGTTAAATACCAGTTGAAATGAGCCTTTTATTCCACTCTTACCATGGGACTCAGGCTTGCTTTCTGGAGGAGATCAAAGCTAACAATTCAGAAAGGAGAACTGCAGCTCTGTAATTCCAGCAGGAGCAGCGCTTAACCTTTCTCTCGCCCATTTTGAAAATTTGCATCCTGAAAGTGAAATATTTTTACACTGAGCTAGGGATTCCCCCCCCCCCCCACAACAACTTGAAGCTTGCAGAAAGGGAGAGCTATGTTTTAAACTACAAACAACTTTGTTTCTAAATCCTCAGTAAATCTCTAGAATGAAATAGCGACTAGGGAAACCGATCTGCTCTGGATCGCTTTTAGGATTTCCTTTTGTTATAAGCTAATCATTCATTTTGCACAGAGCAGTACAAAATGGAAAAAAAAAAACAGTTGTCCATTGCTTCTTCGGAAATTGTAATATCAACACTTGGATCTGTAGCCTCCCCTCTCCAATGAGGCAAAACATGTTGGCTTCCAGTCGCGGATAATTTACTTCTCAACTATGTTGAAAAATGTACGTGTCTTTCCCAAGTGTCAAGTCTATTTAACAGTGAGGATTGCTTTGCTTCAGGAGTCTTGAATTCCTTATTAGCTTGACACAGTTTTTCTGTCAGAACAGATATTTGATATCTGTTTAGAAAATAAAGATAACGATATCCAGTTATCTAGAAAGAGAGCTTCTCACACATATGCATGTTCATCAGCTGTTGGTTATTTTGTCTGGGAGGGGGAAAAAAATCAACCTCTCTTGAGCCAAGAATCGCAGACCTCTCCATATTCTTGAAGTTAGTAAAACTGTTTTGTGGGTGTGATCACTCTTCTTTTATGGGTGTGATCACTCTTTTTTATATAAATAAGTTCAAATTGCTAATTTAGCTCTGCATGAATGTTCAAAATACGTACCTACATCGCACTGAGAATGACCAGCATCAGCATTAGCAAACTCTTTAACTTCATGGTTGCTTTGATAATTTAGCTCTCTTTCAGTTGTTACCCTTTTAACATAACTCAACCATCCCCTGAACCAACGATGGCGCTTCCAGGGATGTTTGGTCTTCAAGAAGGCCTGCCCAGATGTTCCTAGGTCCAAAATCTTTGCTTCCGTTTCTTTCATGTACCATACCTCCTACAAGGGGATGAGCAAACAGCTGCTCTTCTTCTTGATTCATAGCAGTTCATAGATGTGTCTTTCCCAAGGTTTGGCGAGCACGTACTTTTTACAAAATGTAAGCGGGAGATAACCAGGGTGAGCCCCTCGCCGCGTGTAGCTTAGTGTTGGGGCGGGGTGATAAACATGCACTGCCAAATTTGTACTTTCCTGCAAGTGCAAAGCCATAATCTTTGCTTTCTCAAGATATTAATGAGAAGAGGAATAGTTTTATGTCTTGTCTTTCTCGGGGCCTCGAAGGCTGCGAGTTTAATAGTTGTGAGTGTCGGTAACTGAGGAATGAGAGATTGGCTGCTTTCTGCAGGCCTTGATGTTGGCACGACCGCTGGCAATGAAAGGACCCAGTTGCAGATTTACTTGGCCTCCGCAGTCCTCCGAGCTGCGTCTGTGTGATGCGTATCCCCTAAGTAATCGGAAACAAACTTGTCTGTCTTCAAACTAATGTTTTTACTGTCCATGGCATTGTTTGTGAAGGGTGGAGAAATGTAAATTGTACTGAAGTGATAGGAATTATATTAATTATACCAAGGATCTGCAGATGGGCAGATTGCAGTGCCCTGCAACTCCCCCATGATCCTGATTTAGCCCAGCTGATGGTGGGGGATGCTGAGATTTGTAATTCAGCTATTTCAAAAGGGCCCCCTCTGTCCCTGCACGGCGTGCGTGATTCTCAGAAGGGGGAAAGCCTTCATTTTGTTCCTGGATTTGTAGGCAGCAAGCCTTGAGTTTGAACGTGGGCAGCAGCCTTGGCTTCTGTTCGCTTTATTGCCAAACGAGAAGAGAGGTTCTTCGCCCTGACCAGAACGCCTTCGCGCAGTAGACCCCTGTCTTTTCTCACCCTGCTAGATCCCAGGAGAAGGCCACCCCTTTTTCTCCAAGCTGGGGGCTGCGTGTTCCCTGGCTCCTGGGTCCAGCTCAGAGCTTAATCTCTCTTCCTGAAAAATGTTGAGTGGGTGACAATCCAAGCAACCTAGGCAGAAGTAGGAAGGCCTTCACGTAACCTCTCTTGTCCTTTTCAGACTCAGGAATGTAATCGCTTCCCCCCTCCCTCCAAAACGAGATATTTCACGTCACCCACCCCCAACTGTGCTGTTGCCGTATGACTTTAGGTGCTACCTTGTGGAATTTAGAACAGCAGTTGCCTTTTCCACTTAGGAAGCCCACTGGATGGGGGCAAAAGTGGGTTTCGCCATGATCAGAAGAGAAGGGAGCTAAGACTTTGGGCGTCTGGACCAGAACCAAATATTGCATCTTCTCTCCAGCAGGGAAGTGCAGCTGAGTGGCTCGCTCCCATTGGAAACCTCGTGATGTATATTTTATTACGTCTGTTTCTTTTACCTTCGTCGGCCGTTGTGCTTTCAAATCGTGGGATGGGGATAGCGAATGAGGGCAGCTCTTCTTACTGTAAAGAAAAATCAGCTGTGAAAATCTTTTTAGTTCCTCTTTTTTTTTTAAGAAAAGTATTATGTGCACTGTTCTGATTCTTGTTAAAATGCCTTTGGGGTTTTTTTATTTTAATGGTTTCATTTGAAACACAGGATGCAATGTTTTACTGTCCTCTCATAATTCGTGTTCTGCAGTGGCCGCTTGGTGGGGAACACGAAATATCTTTTCCAGATGAATGTCAGTTTGAGATGCATCTGAAAACAGTTCAGCCAGGATAAGGGCTTATCTATGCCGTGGGTGAAAAAATCCTTCCTTTTAAGCACTGGTGGGGTTTTATTGTGCCAGGAAATGGGTCTTTCTGGGTTCGCCTGTTTTAATGGGACATTGCAAGAAATGTTGTGTACCTTGAATACATTCTTCCCCCTAATGGCACCATTTTAATGTAAAATAAAACATTGACTTTGCTCTGTTCATTTCTGGTCTGTTCATGGTTTTGCCACAGATCTTGGGCCCTGGAATTAACATCTTGAAATCAGAATGAAAACAAATGCTAGAGTGTGTTTCTTTATACCGGCAGTCTTTGATTTATGACAACAATTGGGATGGGAAATCCAGTTGTAAGTTGTTGCGGTCGCAAGTTGAGACATTCACAAGACCAGATCGGTTTTTGACATTTTTTTGGGGGGGGAGAAGTTGTTAAATGAATCACCATAATCATTAGGCAAATCCATTCTTCTGAATGGCCATGTTTTTTCTGGAAACCAGCACAAAGCCAGAAGTTGGCAATAAACCTCAAGAATGACGTCACAAATCAGGTCGTCAAACATCATGCGCCTCCTCAAAATGTTAACTTGCTGTCTGCAGAGACATTTTTCAAAATGGCTTAAGTGCTGCTGCTTTACATGTATGTATGTATGTATGTATATATGTATGTATGTATGTATATAAAACCTTTAAAATACTTATCTGCATATCAAGAGCTTAGCAACATTTATATAAAAGATTGCTGGAATCACCGGGATGTAATTGCTTGATCAAGCAAGCCCACTTTTGGGGGCGTTAAATCTTACCCTTGGATTTTTAGGTATCACTGTTAACACACATCACCGTTTCCTAGTTTCTGCTAATATAAAATGCCAAAAGGCAGGCCAATCTTTTACCAAGCTTCTAGCATCAATTCTCTCCTGGACCTAAAAGATAAACCTATTCAGCAGTACTGTATCAAGCAGAGTAGATCTGCTTTATATTTTGGAGGTTAAGCCTACGGTTTGAATAATTAATATAAAGTTATATAATCTGGCGATGAAGCATTTCAGGCCAGTCTTGATGATGCTCTGAAGCAGTGTTTTTCAACCTTGAAGTAGACTTCGACTCCCAGAATTCCCACAGCCAGCATGGCTGGCTGAGGAATTCTGGGAGTTGAAGTCCACCCATCTTAATGCTGTCAAGGTGGAAAAGCATTGCTCTAAAAAGGATTCAGTTCACCCTGGAGTAACTTCGGTCACAGCCTTATGGCCCAACCTCTTTGCGTCTACAGCCGGGTTTCCCTCCAGGCGGATCTTCCCTTAATTGCACCCGCACAACAACCTTGCAGGTAGGCAGGGCTGAGAGCAGCAGCAGCTCTGTAGCTTAACGGAAAGTCGAGCCGTGACCGACGTCCGCTTGCTATGCTGACCCCTAGAGGAGCGGAGCGGTAACATTCCTCGCGCGCTCCTTTCTGGGTAACGTAGTTTCGCCAGAGAAGCCTTCCTTCCTTCCTTCCGGCCTCCTCGTGGTTGTCCCTTGGCCCAATGGGCGCGCCGCCGCCCTCCGTGCCACTTCCTCATTGGTCCACGCGGCTGCCCAATACGAGGCTGGAAACGTGGCATTCCTTTGTCTCAGCTGGGTTCTTCTCGCCCCCCCCCCCTTTTGGCGATGGAACGCGCCAATCCCCGCCGCTGAAGCTCTCGCTCCGCCCGGTTCGGGCTTGTACCATTAGGCAGGCGATAGGGGGACCGAGGGCGGGGAAAGGAAGGCTGGCGAGGGGGAAGGGGGCGGATGCTGGCGGCGCGGCGGGCACTGTGGCCGGGCTGGCGTGGCTGGAGCTGCGAACGCAGGAAGATGAAGTTGCTGACGGCCGCGGCCCTGCTGGGGCTGGGCGGGGGTCTCCTGATGCTGCTCTTCCCGGGCACTCATGCAGAGGAGCGCAAGAAGGGTCCCAAGGTCACGGTGAAGGTGAGCAAGCGGGGGGGGGGAGGGGAGGGGAGGCACCCAGGCTCAATATTCCCCGTGCATCGCTCCCCCCTCCTCGACCCACTTGCTTTGCAGCGGGATTCGGCGCCCGTGCAGCCCCCGTCCCGATTGCAACCCCGTTGCAACAGCCTGGCAGCCGGCCAGTGCCCGGAGGGGTCTCCTTCCCCCCCCCCCCGCTTCTGCTGGCCAGTTTTTAGTCTATCCGCGTGCATTGGCACGCGCGCACGTGTGGATGTGCACGCACGCGTGTATCGAGGTCGGTGGGGTGGTGGGAAACGGGAACCTTAATCCTAGGAACCGGCCGCGTCCGATCAGATGACAAGGAGCCGCCGGGAGGCTGCCCATGCCTCGGTAGGTGGCATCCAAGGTACGTGGACAGATGCCGGGGAGGTTTGCACGCGAGTAATGCAGGCACGGACGCCCCCCTATGAAGCAGGGACTCCAGGAGTAGGATTGCCGGTCATCCCGTGGCAGGGTGAGGGTTGGCAGGCTGGCACCGGAGAGCCCAGAAGCAGGAGATTTGCAGGGGGTTATTTTTGCTTGCTTTCTGGGGACTGTAACTGCCGCATCGCTGGCTGCAGGATTGCTCACGAGGAAGCCCCCTTGGATCCAGTGGGATTAACGCCTGGCTGGTGAAGTGCACAAATTGCAGCCTAGCCTTGTAGAGCCCCTGAAATGAAGGAGAGCCTTGACCAGGGTGATGACATGGCATTTTCCAAAGACCTTAAAAACTGGACTGTGGTTTCTAGACGAAGAGGAAGGAGGTTTGGGAGGGATGAGGGCAACCACCCAGGCCAGAAGGATTGGGCCTCTCTTCCACTCCCAGGAACCGTTAGCCAAGTCCGAGATATCAATAAGAGGAAGCCGTTGTATATTCTAATAAAAGCATCTTAAGGCTTGTGCCCGTTCAGACAGCAGCCTTGTGTTTTCACACACAGGTCTGGTAGAAGCCTCCAAGGACATCACACACAGTGAGGTCTCCACTGCAGTTACTCAAATTGTGTCGTCTTCATCCCTTGCCTGATACGCTTACATGACTTAAATTCAAGGAGTCTTCAATTTATAATGGTTCGTTTAGTGACTGAAGTTACATCAGCACTGAAAAATGACTGTTATGACCATTTTTCACACTTATGACCCTTGTAGCGTCCCCCTGGTCATGTGATGTACATTCGGATGCTTGACAACTCATTTATGATGGTCGCCATGTCCTGGGGTCACGTGATCCCTTTTTGTGACCTGATCAGCAGAGTCAATGGAGAAGCCCAATTCACGTAACAACTGCAGTGATTTACTTAACAACTGTGGTAAGAAAAGCGGTCAAAACTCACTTAACATCTGTCTCATTTAGCGACAGAAATGTTGGGCTCAAATGTAATAATAATACAGTTGGAAGGGACCTTGGAGGTCATCTAGTCCAACCCCCTGCTCAGGCAGGAAACCCTATACCGTTTCAGACAAATGGCTGTCCAGTCTCTTCTTAAAAACTTCCAGTGTTGGAGCATTCACCACTTCTGGAGGCAGGTAGTTCCACTGGTTCATTGTTGTAACTGTCAGGAAGTTTCTCCTTAGTTCCAGGTTGCTTCTCTCCTCAATTAGTTTCCATCCGTTGCTTCTTGTCCTGCCTTCAGGCGCTTTGGAGAACAGCTTGACTCCCTCTTTGGGGCAGCCCCTGAGATACTGGAAGACTGCTATCCTGTCCCCCCTTGTCCTTCTCTTCATTAAACTAGACCTACCCAATTCCAGCAGCCGTTCCTTATATGTGGTCGTAAGTCAAGACTACTTGTACTAGACTTTGTCCTGAAACCACAGTGCAAGCTTAACCAGGCAAACCCTCAATGTTTGCAATTCTTGTAGTGGTGCTTTGACTCCGCTACAACAAAGGGCAGTTGGTGACCAAGGAGGGCCATGTTTCAGCAACCGGTGCCAGAGTTGGCCTCCAGGAATCGGGTTCTGAATTCAGAATAGGAACACATTCGCCGAAGCAGCCAGTTCTTGATAGCAGCCTGTGTTTCTCTCCCCAGGCGTATTTTGATGTTAAGATTGGAGAGGAAGAAGTGGGGCGCATTGTCATCGGCCTCTTTGGAAAGACGGTCCCCAAAACGGTGGAGAATTTTGTTGCCTTAGCCACAGGAGAGGTAAGTTGGACATCGGCTCTGTCATGCGGTCATTTCTGAGTGACCGCAAAATTAGGGGTTGGATTGGTGCAAGGTGATAATGCTTCACAAGCGGTAGATAAAGCAGAGAAACTGATAGCTGTGGGTGGCTAAACAAATCCTCATGATGTTCTTCTAAGCAGGGCTGGCCCCACAGTTGAGTAAAAGGGGGTAATCACCCCCTGGAAGCAGGTGGTTGACGTTACGAAGAAAGTAAACCACTCTCCATTTATTAATAATATTGGATTGGATCTATTTAGCTGTTTATTTACAGATTTGTGTGGTTGCCTGTCCTGGGTCACAACTCACAACAATAATCCATAAAATTCTGGCTCGCCTGGATGAAGGGGGAACCCCTCTTAGTGAGAAAGGGGGGTCTTTTAGAGGAGGAGAGTGAGGAAGTAGAAGGAAGGGGGAAGTGAAGAGATGAGAGGGGGATGCGGTCTGGGGGGAAATGGATGAGCAGTGCCGGAATTTGTGTGTTGTATTTTAACTTGTTATGTATCTGAATTTTTTTTCTTACGATTGTAATGAAAATAAAATAATAAAAAAAAATTAAAAAAAAAGAGAAAGGGGGGTCTTTTGTGCTTAAAAGCTTTTTATTTATTTATTTATGAGGCTTATGCACCGCTTTAAGTGCAAGCACTCTAAGCGGTGTACACCAGTAAGCAATGTGTATATGTATGTATGTATGTGTGTGTGTGTGTGTATATATATATATATATATATATTATATATATATATATATATATATATATATATATATATATATATATATATATATATATATATTTACATTGCCCCCAACAATCTGGGTCCTCATTTTACCTACCCCGGAAGGATGGAAGGCTGAGTCAACCTTGAACCGCTGACCTGCTGAACACAGTCAGCTAAAGTGGCCTGCAGTACTGCACCCTAACTGCTGCGCCACCTCGGTTCTTTTTGGTGCTCAGTTGGATTAGGAAAACATTGGATCCATTTTCTGTCTGCTGAGACATTGTTTTTTTTCACTTGCTGTTTGCGATTCCTGAGTTTGGGGCACTGCCAATGTTTAAGGTATGGGTCCCCTGCGTCCACCACCCTCATGCTTTGCTACTTTTGTTTGCCAGAAAGGATTCGGGTTCAAGGGCAGCAAGTTCCACCGTATTATCAAGGACTTCATGATCCAGGGAGGAGATTTTACTCGGGGCGATGGAACAGGAGGTAAGGCTCAGGACAGGAAGTTGAGGTGGTTCCAAATTCAATCTCTTTGAGGCGCGTCATGTTTTTTGGCAAAGACGTCCTGTAGCAAACAATAGGTTTGATTAGCAACCACCCTGATGTGCAAAAAGTTGTACAACTGGGTCTGCTTTCCAACCCTCACAACTTATGGCTACACTGGGCAGGCTATAGTAAGTGGAGTAACATCTGTACCCCCTCCAGAGCGTGGAAACTACGACTCCCAGAATTCCTTGCACATCCGAGGGTGCCATCTTTAATTCTTGGGCACTACTGCCTCAGTGAGATGCTTTTCCCTAAAGTATCATGTCCTCTTGAGTGGGTTGATCTCCCTGTGTAGTTTTCATTATTTTTTCAATCCTGCCCTTCAGTGCGAAAGTCGAGATAACAGTTTTAAGATACGCATATATATATATATATATATATATATATATATATATATATATATATATATATATATATATATATATATATATAAAAAGAGCAAAGAGGCTGTAAAGATCACCACAGTTAGGCCAGTGAGCAATAAAATCAGTTGTGAAAGAAAGAGGAGGAGGAGTTCACACAGTACTCTGAGCTACAATATGGTTTATTTGGTACTGCAATGTGAAGAGTGAATCTAGCCAAAGAGAGCTCAATTATAGATTGGCATGTGAACCTAGTGATTCGGTGTATCATGGATAGGTGAATCTTGGTTTAGGATTGTGTGGAAACACAATGGCTGAAAAGCAAGGAAATTGGTGCTAATGAGTTCCTGTGGTGTGGATAGGTTCTTCCTTAACATCTGAAAAGGATCCAGGGATCTCAGAGAAGCTGGGAGATGCTTTTCCCTAAAGCAGGGGTAGGCAACCTCGGCCCCTTCATGACTTGTGGACTTCAACTCCCAGAATTCCTGAGCCAGCATGGCTCAGCATGGAAACCTCTCCCTTTCCCCTCAGCATGGCTGGCTCAGGAATTCTGGGAGTTGAAGTCCACGAGTCATAAAGGAGCCAAGGTTGCCTACCCCTGCCCAAATGCCTGAATTTTGATCACGTGACTGTGAGGAAAAAGTATTTAAAGCAGGGTTCTTCAAACCTGGCCCTTTTATGACTCATGGACTTCAGCTTCCAGAATTCCTGAGCTGGCACAGCTCAGCTTGGCAGCCTCTCCCTTTCCCCTCAGCGTGATGGCTTGGGAATTCTGGGAGTTGAAGTCCATGAGTCATAAAAGAGCCAAGGTTGCCTACCTTAGGCCTAGGCCGGTTTATGACTCGTGGACTTCAACTCCCAGAATCCCTGAGCCATCATGGCTCAGCTTGGAAACTTCTCCCTTTCCCCTCAGCATGGCTGGCTCAAGAATTGTGGGAGTTGAAGTCCACGAGTCATAAAAGAGCCAAGGTTGCCTACCCCTGCCCTAAAGTATCATGTCCTCCTGAGTGGGTTGATCTCCACATGTGGTCCAGGTAGATCTCAGGTTGAGACTCTCAGTCTCTGTTTTGGGCAGCATTACGTCTCTCCTGTTCTCATCTTTGCCAGGGAAGAGCATTTACGGAGACCGTTTCCCAGATGAGAACTTCAAGTTGAAGCACTATGGGCCGGGATGGGTCAGCATGGCTAATGCCGGCAAGGACACCAACGGGTCTCAATTCTTCATCACTACTGTCAAGACTTCATGGCTGGACGGCAAGCACGTTGTCTTCGGCAAAGTCCTGGAAGGGATGGTAAGCAGGACTCCAGTTGGGTTGGGCGAGAGTCAGTCTTGTCCAGGGTATAGATCTGTGTTTCTCAACTTCAGGTTGTGTAGACTTCATGCTGGCTGGGGAATTCTGGGAGCTGAAGTCCACATGTCTAAAACCCATCTCCCTGCCTTGTCCTAAATAAAAGTAAAGGTTTTAGAGGCCTCATCATCCTTCCCAGCTGGATCAGACAGGAAACACGATCAGATGAGCTCATTTTATTGCCAGACTATTTAATATAGACTGTTGCAAGTCTGAAAGTACAAATCTCTCGCCTTCTATTTTTATAAGCTGATAAGTTAGGGAGGATCTTCTCCAAGTTGCTTTCTTGGCTTGTTCTGCAGCTCTGGGCTTCCCCTCCTCTTATAGGACCATTCTCTAGGTAGCATCTCTTCCCTCTCCCTCTCCCAAGGTCATTCCCATATACTATAACATTATGTTCCTGGACTCTCAACTGACCCTCCAAGCTGCATTAGAACTTGAGAGGGTGGAGACCAGAACAGTGAGATAATGTCCTCCATGGTAGATGGGGCCATCAATTCAGGACTTTGTTCCTATCTCTTTCTAGGATGTTGTCCGGAAGATGGAAAGCACCAAGACAGACAGTCGCGACAAACCCCTGAAGGATGTCATCATTGCGGACTGCAACGTCATTGAGGTGGAGAAACCATTTGCCATTGCCAAAGAATAATCAGGTTGCTGGAGGGCCAGGTTCTGGTCTGCAAAAGGGCTGGAGGCCCTACCTTCTTCCCGGGGCCTCATTCATCCTCCTCCTCCTCCAGCTGCTGAGCACCCGCTGCTCTCTTTCTCCCCTCCATGCTGGGTGGGGGGGCCTCCATTTCTGCAACCACCGCTCAACTTCTTCCATTTCCATCATCAGCCTCGGTGGGCAGCGGGGCCCCTTCCAAGGGGCCAGGAGTGTTGCGTCGTCTCAATTCTTTTTGTAAAAAGCACATGGACCAATAAACATGACCATTGTGTTTTTTTGTAGAACTTCTAGCTTGCCTTTGTCTTCGTCAGCCAGGACCGGGGAACCCAAGCCGATTGTAGTTGATGCCACGAAGCGTGGCTTAACACATGCTGTAAGCCCAGTTGTAAAAGTGGGAGCTCTCAACAATTGCCTTTTGATGAGCAAAACAGGACAAAATCCTAGTAGTGACTTCCGATTTTGGAAACAGAGGAAGCTGCTCTGGGCACTCCAGTGGAAAATGGCGTCATTCACAGTGTGAAGAACTTTAAAAAGTTGGTTTTGAGGAACTGGGCTAAGCCACGATAGCCCACCAGATCAGGGTTTCTCAACCTCAGCAGCTTCAATTGGGTGAACTTTTAACTCCCAGAATTCCCAACTGGTGGGAGTTGAAGTCTACCAATTGCAAAGTTGCTAAGCTTGAGAAACACTGCTGGATCACAGTGCCCATTTTCCTCAGCCATACTAGGAACGTTGGCAGTGACCCAGACCCCCGTTTGGAGGGCTATCCAGTTTTCAACAGTTGGGAGGATTACCAGCCTTAAACAAAATAAGACCGACAACCTCTGTCCCAGGGAAAAGAGGGAAAAGATTAAACAACAAAGGAGCACAGGTGTCCCCCTTTGCTGAGACCGAACAGGATTCGAATTGGTACAAATTCTGAGAGTTGAAGTCCACACCTCTTACAAGTGGTTGAGAAACTCTTATTTTACTAGTAGTGTCTTCCTAAGTAAGACCAATGACCTTTCCAGATGCTGTATTCTCCTGAAGAGACGTAGCCGAAATAAACTACAGTGGATTTTAATGGATAGCCTACTCAACAAGTCTAGAATCTACTATGGATCTTCCCCTGTTCCCCTGGTGAAACGGAAGAAGATGCTCAGTAAGCTGTGTCCTTGATCCCTCTGTTTTTTCCACACAAGCTGGGGGGGGGGGAGGGGGTGTCTCCCCTTCCAAGGGACAAAATTGCAAAGCAGGCAGCTCCATGTCTCTCTAGGCAGGAAGGAAAGGAGCAGAACAGCAACTCCATGCGTCTCTGTCATTGTCCTTTGCAGCCCCAAGTCCATTAAGAGCTTTGCTTCCAGGCAGATGATGGTCTTGGGTGTAGAGGCCCTGCAGGACACCGCTTAGGATTATATTCGGAAGCAGATCTGAATGAAAAGAGTGGAATATGGCGTCATTCACAGTGTGAAGAACTTTAAAAAGCTGGTTTTGAGGAGCTTGGCTAAGCCACAATAGCCCACCAGATCAGGGTTTCTCAACTTGTAGCCGTTTGCAGTTAGATTTCCTACCTTTTTGCAGTTGGGAAAGCAAAACTGATGGTGTTGCTCAGGGCAGGGATCTGCAACCTTGACAATCTTAAGACTTCAGTTCCCAGAATTCCTCAGCCAGCATAGCTGGAAGCTGGTCCCCAAGTCTTAAGGTTGTCAAGGTTGCAGACCCCTGACTTATGGAGTGGCTGCCAACCACAGGCCCAGAGATAAATTAAGTCTTTGCCCCCACCTGAGCCAAGAAAGTGGGACATAAAGCTTAAGAATAACAACAACAAAAGCCGTAAAATACAACACTTGGTACTGGAGTCCACTTGTTGAACTAACTTAGGGTTCAACCAGTTCTACAGTGAAACTAAGGTTCTGGGGGATAGTGGGTAAGTAGGACAATTTTAATAGTTCTCTTTCCTCTTAAACCAGGATAAGAGGGGCACACTGGTTAACAGCCAGCCCATGAAAGGCCTGGGCTCTTAAGCCAAATTTTCCCAGCTTTGTATGCTCTGGGTAGATGGGCTTTGGGTTCCAGAATTCTTCAGTTGCCATGCAGGCTGGGGGGATTGTGGGAGGGTGAAACCATCTCTGGAAGGACTCCACACCAGCGTTTCTCAAGCTCAGCAACTTTTAAGACGTGTGGACTACAGCTCCCAGAATTCCCCAGCCAGCAATGGAATCCACACGTCTTAAAAGTTGCTGAGGTTGAGAAACACTGGTCTTTATCAGGGGTAGGCAACCTCGGCTCTTTTATGACTCGTGGACTTCAACTCCCAGAATTCCTGAGCCAGCCATGCTGAGGGGAAAGGGAGAAGTTTCCAAGCTGAGCCAAGCTGGCTCAGGAATTCTGGGAGTTGAAGTCCACGAGTCATAAAAGAGCCGAGGTTGCCTACCCCTGGTCTATACTTTCTGGAAGAGGTGAGGGACCCCTCTAGAAGTTTCTGCAACCCCCTTCCCCCCGCCCCCAGCCTCCTCCTTGAAAAACATGGCTTGGAGCAGGGGTGTCAAACTCAATTTCATTGAGGGCCGCATCAACATTGCGGTTGCCCTCAGGGGGCCAGGTGGGTGCGGCCTACTGGGTGAGCGTGGATGGAGTGGGTGTGGCCTACTGGGTGGGCGTGGCCAGCTCTACATCGTTTGCGTTAAGGGTGCCTATGGGGGCCTGGGCAGGAGTGGGACAGATCTGAGGGACTCTGGCAGAAGGGGAGGGGGACCAGGGCAAGCGCCAAGGCCTGGTCCACTGGAGGAGCCTCACTGTTCCTCTCAGGCCATGCGGGGGGGGGGGTGTCTTGTGGAGCCAAGACTGCGTTTCAGCATAGACGGCCACCCCAAAATTGTACATTGGCTCCCGGCCGGCCTGGGCCAGGGCCAAGGCAGCGGGGGGCCGTTCCCTCACTGTTTCCAAGATGGCTTCGCGGGCCATATGAAACCACTTCGTGGGCCGCATCCGGCCCCCCGAGGCCTTGTGTTTGACATGTCTGGCCTGGAGTGAAGCTTGCTGGGTGCAGTCATTTTGAAGAGCATAACTTTCCACACTTCCTCCCTCGCCTGCAAGGAGGAAGGGGAAGCGGTCCTCACTGCAAACCTATCGCAAACTTATCTTTTGGCCTCGAAACTCCCACTGCATTTTGCCGTAGGCCTCAACATGACGACCGTAATGGAACTTGCCCATTATAGTTGTATGCTGGGACGGCGGTAAATCGGGTCGGTCATGTGACGGACCAGATTTTATGACCTTTTTTTTTTTGCGCCAGTCATTAAGCAAAGGCTGCAGTCATTAAGCGAAGCCGTTTGCGAAGCAGCTGGCTACAAGTTGAGGATTTATAAAAGTCTGCACTTTCTCCCTGGTTTGGCTTTCATCATACCCTTCCAACTTTATTATTATTATTATGGTTCATCGCACATCAGCCAGATGTTCAGACTGGATTTGGCATTTTGTCCACCCGAGTCCTTACCCAGGACCTGGGATAGGCAGATGTGGATGTTTGATGGTATTATTATTATTACTACTACTACTACTACTATTACTACTACTACTACTACTACTACTATACCCAAAGCTTCCGAAACACATTTGGCCTTTCCCAGCCTCTGCTGGATGGCACAGCCTTGGCTAACTGGTGTTCCCCTTCCTCTGTCACCCCCACTCCCCCCCCCAAAAATGGCTTCTTCAAGGCTTACCTGTGGAAGATGGGAGCACATACGGATCGCTGTGGAAGCTTATGCCAGGCCGGTGAGAGAGCTGGGCACAGGGGCTGTTGGAGAGAAGAAAGTGCCACCTTGTGTGTTAGAACAAGCAGGAAAGGGGCAAAGAGTAGTAGAATTAACAGTCGGAAGGGAGCTTGGGGGTCATTTAGACCAACCCCCTGCTCAAGCAGGAGACCTTATACCAGTCTGGCAAAATGGTTGCCACTTGACTTGATGGGCATTTTCCTTTCTATAAAAATAAGGGGGATGAGAAGCAAACCAGCCAACAAAGAAGTTTTCATGCTTCACAGAAAGAGAGTGCGAAGAATAACAGAGCTGGAAAGGACCTGGGAGGTGTTCTAGACCAACCCCCTGCTCAGGTAGGAGAACCTTCTACATTACCTATATCTTCCTTCCTCCATGTTACTCAGGGTTCTTCAGTGCTTAGAATAAGCAGGGAAGTGGGGACTTTTTTCTAGGCTGGGGGCTACTCAGAATTTGGGGTGGCATGCCAGGGGTGGCAGTCAAAGAGAGACAGGCGGAGTTGGGGGACTTGGTGATCTTCCTTCCTGCATCCTATGCAATGTCACTTTCCAGAATATTTGCAGCTCAGGGTTGAACTGTGGGGTTCTTGGTGCTTTCTGAGCTTGTTTTCTGAGCAGGCATTTCATTACCAAACTAGATAACATCATCGGTGCTTCAGTGATGTATATGATGACCAGGCACTGATGATGTTACCTACTTTGGTAATGGGATGTCTGCAAGAAAACAGCCAAGCTACCATCTGATCAAGTTATAATTACTAAAATTTTAGATCGTGCAGAAATGGATAGTTTAACACTGGAGATTAAAGAGAAAGATGATTCAATTTATTTTAAAACTTGGGAAATTTTTTTACCAATGGTTAGAGATACGTAAATGATGGGCTTTTAGCTAAGTTTTAGATTTTAGGTTAACAATATTGTTATTTTTAGTGTGTTTAAAAGATAATGTGATAATTATGATCATTTGAGAATGTGCTAATGATGATAATGTTGATTAGATGAGATTTTAATAATTTTGTTTACCTATTCAAAGGAAATCTATCAATTTTTAGTATGATGGTTACACTTAACTTCATTGCATGATTGCTGATTACGATATGAATTGTTATTTAATACTTAGAGCTGGACGGAAACTTGTTTGTTAAAGCATGAAATTATTGTTGGGGGTTGCCTCCATTATTGTATTTACCCCTACCCTACCCCAAATTCCACATCCCTCCCTTTTCCCATACCCATATTGATCCTATCCTTTTTTACCTATACAAAATTTAATAAAATATTTTTAAAAAAAGAAAACAGCCAAGCTCAGAGAGCACCAAGGATGCCACAGAATGTGACTTGCTTAGAGCTTAGAAATTGTGCCTAAATATTGCTGGAGAAATAGGACTGGAAGAAGCTGGCCTTCTTGTGTTTTCTAGATTTATAGACAATCTTGTCTTTCTCCTTAAGACCCAACAGCTCTCCCAAAGCTGATTTCTAAGAGTGATGGAAATCCGATATATCTAGAACATAGAAGGTTGTCAAACATTGGAATAAACAATGAGGTCAAGGTGGTACTTGGGACCCCCTCACCCATCCAAAGTTGGGGTGCTCCCCCAGCCTCTCCCTTAAAAAAAAAACAGAAAACAACTTGCCTGAAGTCCTGAAAGGAAGAGTTCTCCTCCCATCTGTTGAAAAAGAAACCAAATACAAGGTCTTCAACAGAACAAAATATTTGTAGCTCGGGGTTGAACTGTGGGGTCCTTGGTGCTCTCTGAGCTTGGTGGTTTTCTTGCAGACGTTTCATTATCCAACTAGGGGACATTATCAGTGCTGGAAAGAGTGGAGTTTTCAAACTGGGTAATGAAATGTCTGCAAGACAACCAAGTTCAACTCCACAAAGACAGTTGTCTGACAACTCCACAAAGACAGTTATCTCCACAAAGTTGTCTCCACAAAGACAACTCCATCGTGGGCGCTCCATCACTGGAGATTTTTAAGAAGAGGCTAGACAGTTACTTGTCTGAGATGGTATAGGTTCTCCTGCTTCAGCAGGGGGCTGGACTAGAAGACCTCCAAGGTCCCTTCCAGCTCTCTTCTAGTCTAGTTGAGTCGAGTCTATTCTATTCCTATTCTATTCTATTCTATTCTATTCTATTCTATTCTATTCTATTCTATTCTATTCTATTCTATTCTATTCCTAGTCTAGTCTAGTCTAGTCTATATTCTATTTTATTCTATTTTATTCTATTCTATTCTATTCTATTCTTCATGTCTTCATCTACTACTTCATCTATTACTCTGAATGCAATCTAAAAAAAAAGACACTACACTTTATTGTAGTTTGTGAAGCAGCCCTTGGTGTTGGATTTTTCACTGATTGTTGGCAGGGTGGGGAGAAGGGAAAAGGTTGAGATAAGAAGGATGCAATGGAATCCACGTAGAACAGAAGCCCTCCAGATGATCCTGCACTACGACACGCAGCAGCGTCCATCCCCATTGGCCACACTAAAACGGACTGCTGGGACTTGTAGTTCAACAGCCCCTGGAGGACCACAGGTCTCCCTGGTCCAGCTGTGGGCACCTGCAGGGAGATGGGATCTGCTGCTCCTTCCTTCTGCTTCCACTCCCGAGGAATACTCACGCCAAATGGGGCTCCTGCTGGCCTTGCCAGAGCTTCAAGAAATGAAGCAGTTCCTTGGGAAGAGTTTGGTTCTGCAAGATGACGCCCTGCAAGGAAGGCAACAAGTAGGGGAACTAAAACCCTCCCTGAGGCATATAGCAAGAGGAAGCAAATGGGAGAGGTGGCTTCAGCAGGGAATAACCATCTCCCTCCCCATGCTGTAAATCAAAGGCCCCCAACCTTTGGGGCACCAGGGACCGGTCCCGTGGAGAGAGGTTTTTCCACAGACTGGAGAGTGCGTGGTTTTGTGTGCTGCCTGCATCCCACAGATGGGGCTTTGCTTGTTTGTGCGGACCGGTTGCTGGCATGCCACGGCCCAGGGATTGGGAACCCCTGTTGTAAATCACCTGCAGATAAGCTTCTAATCCCGCTCTCCGTTGCTGCAGAACCTTCACCATCCAGTTTGGAACCCGTTTGGGTGGGAAGTCGGGAACCTGGCAGCTCCCCTTGATCTAAAGAGAGAACCGAAGACACGGTGCCTGTTAGGACCTGGGCGCCCACAGAAATGGACCAAGAAACTGCCGCAGTTCTGAAATTGGGAACCTTTGCAGGGAGTCCTCCACTTACAGCAGTTTAGTGGCCGTTCAAAGTTACGACAGCACGGGGAAAAAAGTGAGTTACGGCTATTTTTCATGCTGCAGCATCCCCAGGGTCACATGATCAGAATTCAGATGCTTGGTCCTCGCAGTTGCAACCGTATTCGCACCTCCGTGGTCATGTGATTAAAAAAATGAAGGCGCTCGGCAACCATGTTGGCGCTTGGCAATATATATTTACAGCAATTGCAACAATCCCAGGATCAATTGATCGCCATTTGCGACCGCCTCAGCTGGCTTCTGACAAGCAGTGGGGGAAGCTGGATTCGTTTAACGACTGTGTGACTCATTGAACACCAGTTTATAGATAACAACAGCTGCAAAACCAATATGAATGGATTCATCTGCATATGGCCTGGTGCAAGGTTCAAAATGCAGAGAGAGGAGAAACAGATAGAATCCCTGATGCACCTCCCTCTTGTCTCCAGCAGGTGGCAGCACATAGCCAGCTTTAGCTGATCTCCAGAAGCTGAAAGAAGGCCTTCCTTGATCCAATGCTCTTTGGAAGGGAGACCACTATGAAATCCCAGGGTTCTGGCTAAATTAGAACATTGAGGGGTGAGAATCCCCTAAAGGAAACAACCAACCAACTACTTTTGTGCTGATGGCAGAAATATGAAAGCTCAACCGAAGAAGGAAATGTCCCCTTTTACTCACCCTTTTATGAAGTGCGTAAAACTCGCTGTAGCGCTTCTCCACGCAATGCTTCCTTCCGTTACACACGATCTCCACTTTGAATACCTGCAACGGCACCCAGAGGTGGGTCAGATTCACAGCCCCTGCCTTCAGTTACGTCCCAGCTGACCTTCTGCTGGGTTCAAAAGACTCTCCTTGCAGATTGCACCCTCCCAGATGTCCTGGCTAGAGAGACCAGACTGGAAGGAGAAGCTTTGCAGCACTTCTGAATGAAAGATCCAATTTGGTCATCATTCCGGCTTTTTCTACATTGGCAGGAACTCGAGGGAGGCTCCGTGTTCAAGCAAAGGAGACAAATGGGAGGGGCCAGCAGAGGCTGGCCTGAAATCAGAAGCCGCTGTGTCTTGGCTGGGAAAGTCTTCACAACACTTCCTGGGCAGTTCCCATCTCTCCTAAAGTCTATGTGTGTATCCGTGCAGAGAGACCGCACCTGATACCTTTATGCGTCTGGGTGTGTCTCCATCCTGCTTTCTGTTTTTTAGAAGTAGCCAGTCCTTGCTTTCTTTTTACTAGGGTTGCGAGGAAAAGACTGGCCCAAGGTCGCCCAGTCAGCCTAAGGCAGGACTAGAACTCACCATCGCCTGGTGGTAGGCCTAAAGTCACCCAGTTGGTTTTCATGCCTAAGGCAGGACTAGAACTCACTGCCTCCTTGGGGATTGCTCCAAGTCACCTAGCCAGCTTTCATGGCTAATGAGGAACTAGAACTCCCAGTCTCCTGGTGATTGGCTCCAAGTCACCCAGCCGGCTTCGTGCCTAAGGTGGGGCTAGAATTCACTGTCTCCCGGTTTGTAGGCCAACGCCTTTAACCACTACCCCAAAAGGGCTCTTTGTAACAAACACATTCTGTTTCTCAATCCAGGTTCCCACAACTGCTTTCCTTCCTAATTTGTGGATTTTCTCAGAGGCGTCTAGCTGAGCTCATAGGACAGTGATGGCGAACCTTTTAGAGACCGAGTGCCCAAACTGCAACCCCAAACCCACTTATGCATCATTGGGTGCCAGGTGGGCATGGCCCATTGGGTGGGTGTGGCCCATTGGGTGGGCGTGGCTGCAGTGGTAACAACAGACTGGGACTAAAAAGTTCAATCAATCAATTCCAACTTCGCAAGATCTTTTTTTTTCCCCCCGGCGAGAAGTTGAAATTGACTGATTGATTGAACTTTTTTTTTTTTTTTTTTGCACATGACGGCGGAGGCCTAAAGCGAAAAGGTTTTATAAAACCCAGCTGAAGGCCTAGGACTGGGGCGACGGCGCGCGTGCCCACAGAGAGGGCTCTGCGTGCCGCCTCTGGCACCCATGCCATAGGTTCGCCACCACTGTCATAGGAAATAGATCAGGCACCCAGCCAACTTTCCAAAAATCCACTTCTATATCAATAAAACCAGCCCCTCCCCCTTGACCTGTAACTTGATCCCTTCTCCTTACAAGGTCCATAAACTTCCTTTTAAAAGGTTCAAACTGCATTGGGGAAGCGAACGTGACAAAATGATGGGTGGTGCCTTCAATCCAGGATGTTAGGGCTAGGAAAAAAGAAACAGCCTTCTGCCAGGACACTTGATTGAAAGTTGAAACCTGGCTGCCTAAGGATCCACTGCCTGGCTTCCTTGCTTCTCCTTCCTGGCTGTGGTGTGGTTTACCAAAAGGACATCGTCCCACTACACAAATTTACCTTAGAGAAAATTCAAACAGGATCCTCCTCCAAACATTAACACAGGCCTACCAGCCCCTCTTGCTTATGAGGGCACAGAAGAGCCACACAGCCCAGAGAGAAAGTCTGCATTCCCACAATATCCTGAGTTCAACAGGAGTCACTCAAATGTCTCCAGGCAAGAGAGGGGCTGCCTTAATCCCGCTGGACCGGAAGCTGACTCACACAGGTCTGGGGGGGCTGGGGGCTGGTGGGGGAACTCTCAGGTTTCCAGAGAGGCATTTCAAATCAATTCTTCCTTGGGTGACTTTGCCTGCCCACGCAGGACACAAAGGGCCAGCTGTTCTTCCCCAGCAGGTGCTTTCCTGACCAGCCTTCCAGCCAGAGCAAAAAAAGCCGGGCTGAATAAGCTGTTTATTGATTCCAAGCAAGAGACGTTTCTCTTGGTTCCTGGCTGGATTGCACAAACAGTGCGCCAGTGTCCATGTGCCAAGAAGATGTTTGCCTTCCTCAAAAGTATCCTAAAGATTCCTCTCACTTAAAGGAAGAAGGCCGAACCCCCGCGCCCCCCCCCCCCGGCCAGGATCCCTGGCACTGCATTGCACCTTCTGCACACCAAGTACCTGGGGACAATCCTGAGGGCCATTGCATTCTCTCTCTCTCTCTCTCTCTCTCTCTCTCTCTCTCTCTCTCTCACACACACACACACACACACACAGAGAGAGAGAGAGAGAGAGAGAGAGAGAGAGAGAGAGAGATGCTGCTAACTAGCAATTAGGAGGGAGTTTTGGAAAAACCTCATTCCTAAGAAATACATTTGCCTTTAAAAAGACTTCTTGGGTGGGTGGGTGGCTGTTTCCATAGGAGTAAGATCCGCCAGGCACCCGTTCAGACGTCCACGCAGTCCTCCCCACTCCTTCCCCCTTTCTCTCCTGGAGGGAAAGCTGCTTCCAAGCCAGGGAAGGCTTCAGGCTGCAGTCCGCCGGCTTGCGTCTCCTTTCCCTCTCCCGCTTGAACTCCGGCCGCCCTAACTCGGGTCAGCAGAGCCCTTTCCCACGGCCCCCGAGCTCGCCCTTCCTAGGCAAGGCCAATTGCTCCCTCCCGGCCCCCAGCTCCCCGCCCGCCCGCTCAGCCAGAGAGTCGCGGAGACGGAGGACCGGCCTGGCCCGCCCCGCCGCCCCGCTCCTGCCCCGGGACGCACCGTGCGAGCCTTGGCCGGACTGCGCTGCCGCCGAGGGGGCGAGGGCGCCCGCAGCCTCACCGCGCTCACCGCCACGGCCGGCTTCAGCATCGCGCAGCGCCGCCGGCCCAGCGCCCGTCCCCGGCCGATGCTTATACCCGCCGCTGACCCGCCTCGCCTCGCCTCGCTCCGCCCGGCCGCCCGCCCTGCTCCGCCCAGGCGCGCCGTAGCCGGGCTCCGAAGCGGGCACGTCTAGATGGGCTCAAGGGAGGAGAGAGCGGCGGCGGCGGCGGTGCTGCTGCTGCTCACGACCCCGTTTCCTTCCCGGGTGCCGCGATTTCCTTGCAAAGCAACGCAGGGCAGCAATGGCACCGGTGGGATTTCTGCCTGTCCTGTACCCGAAGGCGTGCAAGAACGCCCAGCGCCTGTTCTGACTCGCGAGCCAAGGTCTGTCTTTCTCTTTGGGTCCTTTACTACGGATTCGTCTAAACCAGGGTTTGTCCAACTTTGGCAGCCTTTTTAAGGCTTGTGGGACTTCAACCCCCAGAATTCCCCCAGCCGGCAAGAAGCCAATTGTTAAGTGACTTTTGCCCCGTTTGATGGCCTTTCTGGGCCCCGTTGTTAAGTGAATCGCTGCAATCGTTTAGTAACACCGTTGCTAAAAGACTGGCTTCCCCTTTGGCTTGGCTTTTCAAAGGTTGCAGAAGGGGATCACCGCAGCCCGTCATAAACACGAACCGGTTGCCGTGTGGCTGAATTTTCATTGCGTGACCACGGGGACGCTGCAACGGTCTTTAAGCATGAAAAACGCTTGTCGCTTTTCTCGGTGATGTTGTAACTCTGAACGGTCAATAAACGAATGGTTGTAAGCCATTCCGATAGCCTCAGCAACTTCCCACAACGCACTCACGCAGAGACCCACAGACACACGGAGAGACGAGGGAGCCAGCTTGCCCTGATTTTGAGTTTTTATTTTTCATTTGCTGTCGTCGCTTCAACGTCGAAGTCCGAAAACTGTGTGCACATTCCTGCCTGCGCTCCGCAACTCCTGGCGGGGCTCACCTTGTAAGCAGGAAGCGAGTCTCTTTTCAATAGGAAAATATATATATATATATATGTTTGTGTGGTTTGTGTGTGTGTGTGTGTGTGTGTTTATATATATTTATATATGAATCTAAATGGAAAAAAATAATAATATACAGTTAGAAGAGTTACTAGCTGGGGAAACTGCTCCTTCGGCAAGGAGGATCAGCTCTGTAGGATCCAAGGCCAAGAGGTATTAAGTGATCAAGGCAGTCCAGATCAGGAAGAAGGCTGGCCCAGCCCGCTTAGGAGATGGCCTTTGCTTCCGGAAGAAAAGCTTCCCAGTATTTCACCAGCTGGGGGGGGGGGGGAGGACAAAGAAAAAGAAAAGACATCAGAGAGCAATTCTCCAGCTGCTTATCAAAGATTCCTGGTATCCCGCTTCCCCTGTTTATTGTGACCTTCCGGGTAATCCATGGAAGTGGTGAAGGCACCCGGGCAGGAAATAGGAGACCCGGGAGTTTGTGAGTTCTAATCCTGCCTTAGCCACGAAAGCCAGCTGGGTGACTTTGATCTCAGTGCTATTGCTAAGCACTAAAATAAAATAAATAAAAGTCTGTTCACGTGAAAGGAAAAGCCCAAACTATATGAGTCTCCAAAGTTATGAGACTAATTTGTTACAGCTCATATCGCTCCGCCCTGCAGACGTGACCAGAGCTGGTCTTTCTAATGTCCATCTAGGGCAGTGGTTCTCAACCTTTCTAATGCCGCGACCCCATAATACAGTTCCCCATGTTGTGGTGACCCCCAACCACTTATACATCACCGGGTGCCAGGGGCGTGGCCAAAGAAAAGGGGGAAAAAATGGCGGACAGCCTTGTTTGGCGACCCCCGTGAAATGGTCGTTCGACCCCAAATGGGGTCCCGACCCACAGGTTGAGAACCACTGATCTAGGGGTGTATCAAAGGCATCAACGAAGGAGGGGCCCTATTTATTGATAAGCCAAGCTTGTCAATAAATACAGGATGTGACACCTGCCAAGGGGATGCACAGGACACCTCTCTCACCTGCTGCTGGGAATGGAGCAACGTCTCCAGGTATTTGGTCACGTGTGTCCGGAAATCTTTCGTTTTTTCTTTCTGTAACAGAAGTTTAAGAAATAAAAACACAGGCACACAGATATCTTCTGTGGTACAGGATACTGCAAGCCACCAAAAAAGAGCCCAGAACTGGGATTTGGCCTGACCATTTTCTGAATTGGCCATTAAGCCCACGTGTGTCTCAAGCTCGAGAAACAGCAGACAAATAGCCAGCTACAACAAACTATTTGTTGGAAAAAGTGCAACTGAAATTTTAACGCAACAGGCGGAGGTAGGACAGGAGAGGGGAAATCGAAAAAGTCGCAACGGAGGCCGGGACCGGATGAGCAAAGTCCTGCATCTTTTAAATATGGATTGAGCAGGTGGACTCTTGATAATTAAATTACATTTGAAGTCTCCCACCGTCTTTCCCGGGACTGAGAAAGCTGCTGATGGAAGGGAATCCAGGGCTGTCTTAACCAGGGAAGTGAATCTATTATTATTACTATTATTAATCTGTTTTCTATTATTTCAGGGAAGTGATTCTTTGGAGGCCAGACGTTGCCTCAGATTAGTTCTGCTTCTTTGGGCACTGTGAAATTGGGAGGGGCTCCGCGGTGCTAAAAGAGGCACCTCACCTACCTCAAACCGTAAGACCTCTTTCCGGAGGACAGCCGAGAGCCGTTCAAACTCCCGCTCGTACTGGGTCACGCGAGATTCCCACTGAATAAACGGAAAAAATGTACAATATATAAAATATATCAATGGGGCTCGTTTACAGCCGTTATGAGGACTGGCGGTATTGCAAGATTTAAAGGCGATAAAATGCAAGTTGCAACGGAGAACTAGGCTCCACTGTGGGGTCACTAGGAAGAAACCTTCCTAGCTGGCAGGCAGCAAATGTTTTAGAAAACAATTTTTTCAAGTTTTTAAACTTCTGTTACAGAAAGGGGAAAAAAAAAAAAACAACAACAGAAGATTTCGGGAGACACGTGTGTGACCCCCCCCCTCTCACCTCCGAGATCTCCTCTTTGGCTTGCTGAAGTTTGTCGGGTTTGTTGGCCCACAGAAGCCTGGCCTCAGTTTCCCGTTTCTTCTGCAGCGTGACCTGGGCATCTTGCCAGTGCTGCCAGGCCTTCATTCTCTGGTCAAAGGCCCCCTGTTGAGAGGGAGAGACCCACCGCTGGAAGGATCCGATCATCCATGGGGAATGAGGGTTTGGCTCAGAGGAGAGATCAAGGGTGCAAACGCCTAGCAGAGATCCGTGGCGCCCTTTGGGCCTGGCTGTTTCCTTGCAGACATTTCATGACCCAACTAGGCAACATCATCAGTGCTAGAAGGGTTTGCTCTCTGTTCGGCGTGAAATGATGTCCTTTCTAGCACTGAGGATGCTGCTTAATGAAACCACCAAGTCAGAGAGCATTTCCTGCCTGAGCAGGGGGTTGGACTAGAAGACCTCCAAGGTCCCTTTCAATCTATTCCATTCCACTACTATTTCATATTTTATTATTCTATTCTATTCTATTCTATTCTATTCTATTCTATTCTATTCTATTCTATTCTATTCCATAATTTATTATTCTATTCTATTCTATTTCATATTTTATTATTCTATTCTATTCTATTCTATTCTATTTTATTTCATAATTTATTATTCTATTCTATTCTATTCTATTCTATTCTATTCTATTCTACTCTACTCTACTCTATTTCATAATTTATTATTCTATTCTATTCCTATTCTATTCTATTTATATTCTATTCTTCTATATTTCATAATTTGTTATCCTATCCTATCGTACCCTATCTTGACAGTGAGAACAATGAATCAGTGGAACAACCTGCCTCCAGAAGCGGTGAATGCTCCAACACTGGAAATTTTTAAGAAGAGACTGGACAGCCATTTGTCTGAAATGGTATAGGGTTTCCTGCCTGAGCAGGGGGTTGGACTAGATGACCTCCAAGGTCCCTTCCAACTTTATATTATATTATGTTGTTGTTGTTATTATTACCCTACCATTCTAATTCCAATTCTAATAATTCTAATTCTATTCATTACTCCCTCATTTCAACTCTGAGCTACATCCTCTGAGCTCATGGACCCCTACCAGTATAAGGGACCACCAGCCTAGCCCTCGCCCACCGCAATAACCGAGGCGCTCTGTGGGCACCGTCTGCTCCACCCGGAGGCTCTTACCCTGACGGCGGCTAGCAGGCGGATGTAGTCGCTCAGGACTTCCGCCAGGAGGAAGAAGTCACCGTTGGCCTGTTCCTGGTGCAGCTGCTCGATCTTCTCTTCCACCTCGGCCAGCTGGGAAAGCGCCCGAGACAAAGCCGTGTTGTCCTCCGAGCTGCCCAACATGGCCAGGCTCTTGGCAAACTGAGAGGTATTCAGCAACAGCTCTGCAGGACGGGAGGGGAGCGTGAGAAGGGAAGGTTCCCCCCCCTTCCTTGCGAGTGACACGGAAACCCAGCAGAAAAAAGACCCCCAAACATCGCAAGGAGGGGATTGTGATGCCAGAGGGGAAAAACAAACAAACAAACAAAAAAAAAAACGCCAAAATCAGAAGCTCTGAATCCTAAAAGTCCATCCCTTTGGATCACTCCACAGCTAAGCTTGCTGGGAATTAGAGCAGAGTCAACTGCCCTCCCCATCTTTATAAAGTAAAACCCGGGGTTTTTACTCATTTATTACACGTATTTATATAGCCACTCAACTCACATATAGATGACACCCGCTGGCTTGTACAATTTTTTTTTTTAAAAAATCACTGTATAATAAAAACACTTTAAAAAAACCCCCCATCCCACTCTTCATGGCAGCAACGACACAATAACATCAGCCCCTTGACTGGCTCTGTCTTCCATTTGGGGGTTCCCAGGCCTGCTGAGAAAACTACATTTTTAGGGCCTTTCAGAAAAGCAATGGGGGGGGGGGAACCGTACCATAGAGGGGAATGACGACAATCCCTAACTGACAGGACTCATGATGGGTCCTATTTTCTAGAGGTTGTCTTTTAAGTTGGACATTCTTAACCTCAGGGCTGCCTGTACTCAATTCAAGATCCCGGATGCAAATCCTGAGGTTTTGTAAAGCTGAAAGGTGACCCTACAGCAGTGATGGCGAACCAATGACATGCGTGCCAAAAGCGGCCCTCAGACCCCTCTCGGTGGGCACACCTGCCGCTGCTGCCAGCTCACGCAAGTCCATTAGACCCCCGCTGGTGCCTGGAGTGGCAGCCCCACTCAGCACAAAAGAAGCGAAGCAGCTGGCCAGCAAGCTTGAGTAGAGGTGGTAGAGCATGCTCCCATGCGCTCGCTAGCCTGTGTGCGGGGGCTGATGGTGTCAGGCAGCAGCCACCCCTGCCTCGCCTTGCCCTGCAGCAATGGCACCTCCACCCTACCCCCTGCCTCATCCCGCAGGATGAGCCCCCTGCCCACTATCCCACCCACCAGAGACCCCCTGGATCCCCCCAATCCTGCCCAGCCCCCACAGGCACCATCAAAGTGGCCACGCCCATCCCTGCAATGTCCAGTCTGCTGTGACCCCCGCAGCCACGCCCATGCCTACCCCCACCCCAAGGCGGCCCTGGCACTTTGCGATAAATAAGTGGGTTTTGGGTTGCGGTTTGGGCACTCGGTCTCTAAAAGGTTCACCATCACTGCCCTACAGTTTTCCCAACTACCCTAAGCTA